GCTTCTTAAACTTTTTTCATTCACGACCCCATTTATGATTGCGAGTTTCCTGGCGACCCCATATAAATATAAAAGAAAGATAAATAAATATTTTGAGATTTTTTTATCAGATAACAATATACACATATACATATGAAAATATATAGTTTTAGAATTCGTTTAGTTAATTCATTAATCTCTCGCGACCCCAGAATTTTGAGCCCAAAAGGGGTCGCGACCCATAGTTTAAGAAGGCTTGGACTATGTAATGGTCAGCGAATTAACCCATGCAGTTCGCACGGATAAAGGCGGAAACACATTATTAAAACGCGAAGCGACCCGATGAAACGCGATGCGTGTTGAGTCGAATCAAATGTATTGTTTTCTATAGACCAGAATCACACTATGAACACCCGACGCGACGCCATGCGTGCACACGCCACCTGATCCAGACGTTCCAGGTCGGTGTGTTGCCCACGGTGGGGGTAAACACGCCATTCGACGCGGCGAATGCGGTATGTTTCTAGACAACACCCAACGCCACTCGTTCGAGAACTGTCACAAAGCATATGTGCATTCTTTGACCTCATCCCTATTCTTCAAACTGTCAAACGGAATTTATGCCAATTTAATATTATTTTTTATACACACATACTTCTCTTTTGATTTATTTCATGTACCCAGTACCGCCTAATAATTCTCTTTTTCTTGAGTCGTATAAGTATCATATATGTACCCAAAATTTGCATCAAATCTTCTTCAGTCTTCATTTGACTCGTTATTTATTAAATCCATGGTAAATAACCATACACTTCCACTGCTGTTAACTAACTGTATTCAGAAATTGCTAGTATGTCGTGGAGTCGCGTGTAGGTAATGTGCACGGTGTCGACACGTTGCGTCACGTCGCGTTTTAATAATGTGTTTCCGCCTTAACGTCTCAGAAAGCGATATGCTTAGCGTAGTGTTTTTTAACATGCATAAATACTTTGTTACAATTGGATTAATTTAATTATTATTACAGTTGACGCGCGTGGCGTATTGCTGTTTTATAATTCAAGCGTTCCAATTAATATTATTTAATTTCCGCACATAGTGTATTGTTACTAATATAATTGGTTGTGAATTTTTTCTAATAAAAAGCTAATTTTAAATGTAACTCTTTTTAAAAACTGGAAAACGTACAGGGAACGTTTAACTAACCTCTCTTAAATTAAATCAGTAGAATTAGTACTGATTTTTCCAGTAATTCGAATAGCAACTGGCAAAACAGTAATTTTTGACTGTTTTATATCAGTTTACTGAAAATGGTTCTTCACTGTCGTATATGGAGATACTTTCTAATGTTTTCAGTAAATTAAAAAGTTACTGAAATTTTAGTCATTCGTATGAAGGAGATGCATGCGCGCAGCATATTGTTTGTGATAACCAACAAAAGGCACCACGTCTGTGTTAACCGGTACGAGTGTTCAAATGACAATATTATTTCACAGTGTATAATAAACATTATTATGCAATTATACACTTGAATTTACTTGATTTATTATAGTGTAAATGTATGTAAAATGAAATATTAAATGAAAATAAGTATTACGTAGAATAATCAGTATACGAGGGCGGTTCAATAAGTACCCGTGAAGCGGTCCAATAACTCACTGTAGTATTGTCCAGTGATCGTTCTTCCTTTTCCTAAAAAATTCGTAAAATGATTTCCTCGGTGACAATGTTTACCAGGCTTCCTGGTCGCTCCTATCAAAAACGGATCTTTGCCCACGTTTTAATTCGTTGAAGCAATATCTAACTGTGGTCGTAGATGGCAAAATGTCTCCATAAACATTATCCAACTTTGTTTTCATCTCCTCGCATTTTTTCCCATCCAAGAACAAAAAGCGATCGCGAGAGTTACCGAACGATACTGCTCTTTTTCCATCTTAGCGAAAATAACGAAACACGTCTCAGTCAAATGGCTGCCAAATCCAAACTAACCTATCAATCAGTCTGAAATTCGTTTTGGCGTGGTTTGATAGATGGCAGCACACGATGACAACACCAATTTCCNTCAAACACCATTGGCGTACCCAAGAATATCACACTGTTTGGTTATTGTTAGTGATATTTATCAATCTCATTTCTTTAAGTGTTATTAGATTATTACATTTCTACAAATTAAATTACTTTCACATAAACGTCTGGTTGTAGAGACATTCCATGGGATCGGGGGGGAATGAATGGGGGGTTGTAAATGATCTTGTAGAACACCAAACAATTGTTTTAAGTTGGGAGGTGCACGACGTGGTGTTGAAAATTGATAATGTGGAATTAAGAAAAAGATTACTTTGGGAAAGGGGTTTGGTAAAAAAACACATACTGGCTTCAGGGAGAAAGTACAGCATCCCTTATCGGGAGTTGTCGCACTGTGGAATAGGAGGGTTGGTGACACTGAAGTAGGGGAGTTAAAGTTATTTTTATTCGACACTTCAACTTTCCCCAACCCAACAGGGACTTCTATATCTAATTATTTACTAAAAATAAATACAAAAACAATGGCAAAATTTGGTCTGTAGTTCGTACTTATTTGCGCAATTTTAATAACTTTGGCACAGTGCGCCACTGAAAAAAAAAACGACAAATGCAATTATATAGTACATAAAAACTCGTAATATTTTTTAAACAAATACATTCAAACATTTCAACTCCTATTTGAAACACATTAATAAGTGGTTGGTTGCTCTGAACACCACGAGAACCAAACTTTTATAGACTATTTAATTTTGATAATTTGTCGCGCGATTGTTGATAATAATTGCCCAATTTTATTTATAATAATTCATAATAACTTTTGTGACGCAGCTTGTTTAGCATTCTCTTTCGTTTCAAAATAATTTGTTAGTGACTGTTTCAATGTCATCGAAAGTCTACAAATTTGCAGTGAATAAGCCGAATATTTCTGATAAGTTGTATCTACAATAATAAATACATTTTGTTACACCTATACCTGCAGTTGCGTGCCGAAAAAGTGCATAGGTAGTTTAAAGAACCCAGAAAAGCGTTGTTTGGAATTGTCGGCCTACTTTTACCGTTGGGTACTGCAACAATAATAAATTAATGATAAATGTTAACACGTATTAGTTTCAAATGTGTGTATTAATTTGTATTTGCTGCCATTAAACATATTTCCACTGGAACAATTTTTACCAGAACTATTCTTGTGAGTACAATTACATTTCAATCTTTAACACGTGTGCATTATCTAACAGAATTATTATCTAAATAAATATTATCGAAATTGCCGAAGAATTATCGCGCTAAAAGTAAACAAAAGTTTTTAATTAAGAAAAACGTAACTGTTTAACAAGTTTTAGTTAAATTTTATAATTTGACCACAATGAGCACATTGTGTAAACTTATCATAGAATTTTGTACACACGTTGTGAGGGGTACAGAATAGGACACAGGGTACCTTTTAACATATCCGGAAGGAATACTGTCCTCGAGAGATAAAAAAAAATAGTTTTATGTGGTCGTCGATGATGACAAGTATTTAGGACAAATAAACTAACATATTACGCGCCTTTTACTTATTTAGTACCTAGTAAATATATTTGAGTACTCATTATGGAAATAACTGTCCACAGTATACATAAAAAAAGGTAATTAATCGTATTGTTTTTACTTTTATTTGTGTGTGAAAAATTCGTAATTTTGTAATTTTTATTTACAACAATCTTAAGAAAAATTGTATTAGGCGCAGTTTTTTTTTTTTTTTAAATATATCTTCTGCTTTTCGATAACATTTGACGTAGAACAATAATTATTGTGGTCGGAATTGTAAACACTTGTGGTTTTAATTACTCTATTACGAATATATTAGTAGGTTGATAATCTAATAGATAAAAATGTTCGGATAGTAACAATTTGGTTTTCGAGATGTTCGATATTGTGGAGAAGTATGTATAATTCTAATTACTAATTTTCAATTATGTATTGATAACCTTTTCATCCTGTCCAGATAATATAAACACTAGAATATTTATTGCATAAATAAATTCTATTTTGTAAAGAAAAAAAAGATGTTCTTATCAATATTTTGAGTTAATCTCAATTCAATAAATTGGTACTTGATAGAGACATTGGAAAATGGCCTCAGATAAAGTGGCCCAGTAATTGGTTTTGCTGTTAAAAGAACTTAAACAGTTTCAAATCCATTGTTTCGCTCAAAGATTACTACTACATTTATGAATCGATAATAAAAATGAAAACAAAAGAACTTTACTTATGGAAAAATCGTCACGTTGGTTCCTAATTAATATCGCATAAGAAAAAAAATGACTAAAAAATGATGATGATCGTAACTCACAAAATTTACGTACAAAATAATTAGTTGATTAATAATACTTTGTAGTTAGATACTAGTTATGAGTATTTCATTAATTTTTAATCTAAACTAATAGGTCGTTCATGATGGCACACAATACAAAAGCGTTTCAACCATTATTAAAAAATTTACTGTTAATTTTTTGGTGGAGGCGCAGGAACAATTAAAAAATATATTATTGAGCTACAATTCTGATTTTATTGCAGTAGACTGATGAATTTTCATCTTTAAGTTTTTATTTTTTCGATGTACATGCAAGGATGATAATTTATATTTTTATTTTTACAACAAAAAGCAATTTGTAGTATAATATATATGCAACCCAATATGCAGCAAATATTACAACTAATAATACCGTAACTATAAATGAAGTTAAAAAACTTTTAATTAGAACTCAATAATATCCTCGAAGAAGCTACTAAACGTTATATATCTAGAAATAATTAATTAATTTTTAAAGACGTCTTCT